GAAAATTAAATAAATAAGAGACCTAAGAAACACGTGAATAATAAAGAAATTAACAATAGTACAATACAGTAGCCTAAAGAAATTAACAGTAGCGTAATGCAAATGATGTAAGACGTGCTACAAAGAATTGATGAAATCTCAAGAGACTAACTACTATGGAGAATAGATACGCTAACGTGTATTTAGCAACCTCGAAGCGATTTCTGAAAAATGTCAGTTAATAAAATACGAATTGGTACGTAGAAGGCTAATGGCCTTCTAAATAGAAAGCACGAATTGAAGATTTTTCTTAGACATAAAAATAGCGGTTAACGTTTACTGCCAGAAGCACACTGAGGGAATTGGATGTATTGGGTTAGAAATGCTATAGGGCAACTCGCCCTGATAACCATTCAAGAGGAGGTAGAGCTATTTGAATTAGGGAAACCATAAAACATGATGAGAAATCCAAAATAGAGACTGAGTAGATTCAACTCGTTGTGGTTAAGATTGAGTCTACCAAGCTGGACTTCATTGTTGGTTCAGTATATTGTCCAACTAAATGTGACATAAAGAAGGATATTTTTAAGCATTTGTTATGCGCGGGAGGAACCCTCCAGGAAGATGACTGCAATGCCAAACGTGTGGATTGGAGCTATAGATTGATCCCCCAACTAGAGGTCAAGAACTATGGCAAGCTATTCAGTAGTTGGGATGTTTATATCATTCCACTGGCAGCCCGAACTATTGGCCTACTGATGCTTGCAAACGATGTCATCAAATTTTTTGAACTTTATGTTTTTCCTTTTTTTTTACCGAGAGGAAGGGTGAAAAATCTCGAAAGACACTGCCAGATGAAAAAAAGTAGTGTGGAACTTTAATCCGCTAAAAAACACCCTCCTCAAAATGAATTATAAAACTAGTCGGAAACGACTAACCATTAATTTTTGCTCCAACCTTTTTGATTATTTACAATTTTGATTATTACAATATTTTGATTTGGCACAATAAAAAACATTAAACTAACTCAAGAGGTCTCGTACGTTTTAGTCTCCTAACAAAGCTTTGATTGTCAACCAATCAAGCCGCCTTGATATTAACACGATTGGATAAACGCATTTTATGATTGGCTGCTTGCTTTTTAATTTCGTCTGTGACACTAAAGGATCGTGATATCGGCATTCCGAACATACCAATGGGCGTTTACAATGTCCCATAATACCTAATTTTGAAATCTTTGAATAATTTTGGATATGAGTCTACGCAGCGCAACTCCATAATTGAATACCATAAGCCAAGACATGCTTAAATATTCAATTATATATCAAAACTTTGTTGTATATTGTCAACTTAGAGCGCCTTCCCAAAAGCCATTCAAATTTTCTGTATGCCTCTTCGAGTTGAGATTTGTTTTAATTCCGTTCGAGCCGTGTTTGCGGACGGAAGTAAGCCGCCGTTATCCGAACCGAAAATGAATTGTCAATTCTCCTATTAGCGAAATTCACGTGTACTGATTTCACCTCATTAAGTTTTATATTCCACTTTCTAGTCCATTTTGAGATCTCGTCACTGTCCAAAACTATGATAGAACATTTTTTCTTCCTGCGAATTTTCTATTAGGCCAGTTATTCTATGAATCTGATCTATGGTTGAGTGGTTCCGGGGAAAACCAAATTGATAATTCGGAATTTCTATTATAGGCTGTTTTCTTTAAATTATAGGCTGAAGCCTTCTCAATAAAAGATTCTCTAGCAGTTTTGAAATCATCGGCAACAATGAGACCGGCCTATAAGAAGTCGTCCTGTCTACAGGTTTGTGCAGCATGATTATCTCTGTAACTTTTCAAATGTCAGGCATCCCTTTTGGATAACTTTTTGAAAATATCGGCCAGTACTACGTCAAATCCCGGAGCCTTTTTAGGTTAAGAGTTTTGATTTCCTCTATAACATCTCTTTCCTTGACAATTGGAATAGTCACGCTATCCTCAACAAAAGCAAACTTCTCATTTTCATACACGCGACTGTCATGTGGACAGAATATATTGGCCAAATGATCCGCAAGCGCATTTGCCTTGTCCTTGTCAGTCTTTGATTGCCTTCCATCTTTGGCTTTAGAAGGGAGATGTTTGATAGGTTGCTTCATTTCCTTGCGCTCCACAGTGAGTAATTTGTTTTCTCGTACGCCGTCAAATTTTGAACATAATTGGCAACCGAATTCCCCTTGAATTTTCTAATACAGCGTCTTAGTTGTTACGATTCACGATTATATCTGGTTTTATCAGTAGGATCACGCATTTGCTGCCACCTCTTTCTCACCCGCCTGCTTTGTCTTACTTTTTCTAGTAAATGTGCGGGATAGTTAATGCCTCCCCTTCTAATAGCATTAATTTTCGAACTACTCCAAGCCGTACTTTGAATAATTTTAGTAAAGTTTTCTGTCTTCTCATCTACGTGCTGGGTCATTCTTATTCTTTTCCTTAGATCTATTTGTCGTTCAATTTCTCTATGCACTATATTTTCTTCTATTATTATCGCCGTTCCGTCTTTTGCTATATTTCCAGGGTGGTTTTAGTTGTAAATTCTATAACCTGGAAACCAAATCCTGCTTCTTTTTTTTTTTTTTTTTTTTTTTTTTTTTTTTTTTTTTTTCTTAAGGTCATATGTGTTTCAGTTACGAGGCACACGTCTATATTCTGTGTATGTAGAAAAACTTCAAGGATGTCCTTTTTATTTGCAATATCATTGCAATTCCATGTTGCTATTTTAAAATTACCTCCTGCCATCATTTACAAGGTCTTATGGTATTCGATTTTTTCCCTTTGTTCTCTAAAATACTCGATCTCTGAGAGATTTTGTCAATCATATCTAGCATGTTCTGCATCATATTTTGCATTTTATACAAAACATTCACGTCACTGGCCCGTGCTTTACGGCTCGTGCCACCGCCATCAGTTCTCGTTTGGAGAACGTCCTTGTATGTTACATCTTTTGAGACTATTCTCGAGGCGAATTGCCTTGGTGGCCGGTCAGATTTCTTCTTCAAGTTGTTGTTGCTGTTGTTATTTCTACGGTTTTGCAGTTCCTTAGCTACAAGACATCCCCTATAGTTTGCTGAGTGGGCCTCCAAACACCTGGACCACTTTGTTGCAGTACTTCTTGACTTACTACACTCTGCGGTTAAGTGCCTGTCTGCAGATTTAACACAATTTGATTTCCTCTGGCAAAAGTTTTGTTCCTCTGGAATAGTCATGTACCTTCGAAGAGCCTCCATCCTAACTTTTATCCTTTTATTTAATCGATTTCATAAGTTAATTTCATCTTCTCGACATTAAACAACGTTAACATAAACAGCGGTAGGGACATCATAATGTTTTCCACATTTTCTTTTATTTTTTTAATTTTATTTGTTACATCTTAGATCTTGTAATTCCTAAAGCTTAAGTCTTCTTTAATTTCATCTGGCTTACAACTGGGGTGAAGATTTCCTATCACGACTCGCCTGTTTGTTTTCATAGATATGCCATTCTAGTCCAGATCCATTCATGGTCCTGGTAAGATTGCTGTAATCAATTTCGAAATTCACAATGAGCTTTAATTGATTGTTATTCATCATTTTAACCTTATAATTGATGCCCTTATTTTTATACCCGTACGAACGTATGTTCGAAGGGTATACTAAATTTGCCTTACCGTTTGTAACGCTAAGAAATAACGGTCTTAGATATAGACTCAAGTGTATGTTTTTGATCAGCGTCAAATTCTGAGTTGATTTAGCTTTGTCTGTCCGTCCGTCCGTCCGTCCGTCCGTCCGTCCGTCCCTCCGTCCGTCCGTCCGTCCGTCCGTCCGTCCGTCCGTCCGTCCGTCCGTCCGTCCGTCCGTCCGTCCGAACGATAACTCAAAAACTAATTGAGCTAAGTTCACCAAATTTTCACAAATGATTTATTGTAGTAAGTGCCAGAACCCTATTTAAATTGGACATGATCGGGGTACCGGTTCGGGTAGCTGCCATACAACTTCAAAATTTATTTGGCTATATCTCAGAAACTATAAAAGCTGTGATATTGAGATTTAACACAAGTGAATATATTAGTAGGGCCGATGTGTCTGGTAAAAGTCATTGAAATTACTTGGCTCCTTCTGGTACCTGCCATACAACTTCAAAAGTTATTTGGCTATATCTCAGAAACTATAAAAGCTGTGATATTGAGATGTCACACAAGTGAATATATTAGTAGGGCCGATGTATCTGGTAAAAGTCGTCGAAATTACTTGGCTCCTTCTGGTACTTGCCATACAACTTCAAAAGTTATTTGACTATATTTCAGAAACTACTAAAGCTATGGTATTGAAATTTCACACAAACTTATATATTAGTAGGGCCAATGTGTCTCATAAAAGTCGTTGAAATTACTTGGCTCCTTCTGGTACCTGCCATACAACTTCAAAAGTTATTTGGCTATATCTCAGAAACTATAAAAGCTGTGATATTGAGATTTCACACAAGTGAGTAGATTTCACACAAGTGAGTAAGGCCGATGTGCTTGATAAAATTTGTTAAAATTGCTTGGCTCTTTCTGGTAGCTGCCATACAACTTCAATAGCAGTTTGCCACACACAGTATTTTGAAAACAGCAGTGAAATTTTGCATAAATTAATATGGTAATACGGCAACTTAAAGTCATAGTCTGCCCCATAGTTAGTTATGGCACATTAGTTACTCGCACATATGATAACAAATTCGTACGGGTATCACAGAGTTGACAAGGTCAACTCTATTTTTTTTCTCGTTTTAAGTTGATTCTATTTGATTATAGTCAACCACATTACCTATGACTACTGGAGGCGGCCTAGAGTTTTTCGGCACACCGCCTCGATTTATTTTACTTTAGGATCCAATCTGTTTCTCTGGCGAGCTCTTCCTCATCTGTTCAGTAGGCGTCTTAGATTGACCACACCTGCTTTGCTTCCGTTGTAACGCCTTTTTCTTTATGACTACTATCATTAGACTTATTGTTTGTAATTTACCAATGTTGCTCTTCCTTTAGTTTCTCATTCTCAGTCCTCAGTTGAAACAGCACGTTTTTCAAAGCCATACAGAGCTGTTCCAGTTCGGTAATCCCTTTATGTATGTCAACATTTTGATCATCACTTTTTTTGGCTTGAAGTTTACTCATGTTTATTTCCTTGTTGGTTTGTGGAGCTTGAATGTTCGGTAGTCCACTTTCCATAGCTTTATTGTTTTCTAAAATCCCTACATCAGATTTAGGTGGTGAACGCCGGGTCTTCGCATTCCTCCTGAACGGATCAATCAAATGCAATAAATAGCTCTCCCCAGAATCCGTAGAGCCCACTCCCGAAGAGTGTGGTAAGTAAAAATATCTCTGGATTTATTGAATTTGTTAACTTTAACTTGAACATTTTAATAAATTGGTTTTTTAATCATAATTAAGTAAATAGTGAGAAAACTAAATATATGATTTACAGTATTTATTCTTCTCCAGTTTCTGTTTATAAATTAATATTTCCTTCTGTTAATTGTAAATCCAACTCCTGTGCCTACTTTATCTCTTGTGATTCATACCTGCTATCTAAAGGATTATTTTAATAATGTTTTGATTGTATTTCAAAAGTCTATACAATGGGTATAAAATGGTAACGCCCTTTTCTATTCAAAACTTTAATATGAAATAGTTTGTTGGGGTGGTTCATACTTTAGCAAGTTGTATTCGCTATTAACAACCCAAGTAACAATTTAAAAGAGTAATACCCTAAACAATCGACCAAAAATCTCATAAAACTCTCATACCACACTCGAATACTCTCATAACTTTTTTTTTTTTTTTTTGTTATGCAACTCTCGTAAGGTTCTTACAATAAGGACTTAGCACTTGTAGTGTTAAAAATTCTGCTACTAGAATAAGCGAGAGGGTTGTGGTAATAAAACGACAGCGTTCCACAGAGGAACCACCTCAGGAAGCTAAAAAGCCAAGGCCACCGAGCAGGCCCTTTAGTGCATCCATTACGAGGCCTTTTAGTAAGATCCCGAAGGACCATCTTGCTGTCGCTGTGGTTGACCAGGCGCTAGAAGATGTCAGGATCTCTGCGAAGGAAAGTTAAAACCAACTAATAGCGGGCTTTCCTCAAATCATGAAGGAAAATCCAGGCCCATATCCCTCGTGCAGAGACCAAGGTTGGCAACAGGGGTTTGTCAAAATTGTGGCCTGCGCTGACGGCAGGTCCCTCAACCTTTATAAAAAGGTACATATGACAACCATTAGTTGAAAAATCTTTACCAAGTCAAAATTCTCAACTTAAAGAACATAAACCTCCACCCGAAATACTAACAAATTACACATAGCTTATAAGCCCCCTCAAAGAGGAAAGTATTAACTTGAAGGTAAATATGATGAACAATAATCACCTAAAAATAAATGTTAAAATTGAAAATGAATGTAGACAATTAAATAAACCTGTTAATAAGGTCTAATTGAAAATAAATTGACGATGTCAATTAAAGTAATGGTCAGAAACCTACATCCACCATGTGAGCCAGAGGATATTAAAAGTGAAATTATCCAAAGGAGATTATCCAAAGAATTTAAATGCGTAAACGTCATAAATAAAATTCAAAAATAAAAGAAAATGATATAAATGCTATTAAAAAGTTGCCCTTTTTATGTTGTCCTTCGATCACACCGAAGAAATAAATAAAATATATAAAATAGAATATCTTCAGCGCATAAAAATAAAAATGAAGCCTCTCAGAAATAATGGATTCATACCGCAATGCAAAAAAATTCCAGAGATACGGTCATACACAAAGATTTCACCAAAGAGGGGCTAAGTATGTTAAATGTGCTGGTAAGCATATGACGACAGAATATAATAAGAAACATCTGGAAACATCTGGCAGGCGCACACACTGTATTGAGACACATCTTGCTGTTGCAGGTACTGTTTTGTGGCTAAGGAATTACAAAAAAGAGAATGAGAAGGAATCGGCCTAAACGAGTTTTGTTTAATCATGATGGGATCCCGAAAACGATTAGTGCTTTTACATCAAATAAGGTAAGAAAATGGTGTTACATACTCAAAAGTGGCTTCCAAAATGGCAGAAAATTATATAGATAAAAACCTAAGAAAGGCAAGAATAAAAAAGAAATTGACAATACAATAACCTAAACAAATTAGCGGTAGCATAATGCAAATGATCCAAGACGTGCTACAAAATATTAACGAAATCTCAATGAGACTAAGTACTATGGAGAATAGATACACTAATGTGTGTCTGGCACCCTCGAAGCGATTTTTGAAAAATGTCTGTAAATAAAATACGAATAGGTACGTGGAAGGCTAATGGCCTTCTATGTAGAAAGCACGTAAAGGAGTTTTATCTTAGAGCTAAAAATATCGATTTACGTCAGTTGTCAGAAACTCAATGAGAGACTTGGTTATATTGTATTGGATTATAGATGCTATGGGGAAACTCACCCTAGTAACCATTCAAGAGGGGGTAGTGCTATTTTAATTAAGGAGACCATAAAATATGATGAGGAATCCAAAGTAGAGACTGAGGAGATTCAACTTTTTGTGTTTAAAATTGAGTCTACCAATCAGAATTTCAATGTTGGTTGAACTGGTATGCGCGGGAGGAAATAGATTCTTTCTGGGAGGTGACTATAGTGCCAAATATGTTGATTGAAGCTCAAGATTGACCTCAACTAGAGGCAGAGAACTAGGGAATGTCATTCGGAAGTTGGGATGTTCCTATCATTCTACTGGCAGTCCGACTTATTGGCTTACTGATGCTAACAAAGTCCCGGATCTTGTTGACTTTTTTATATCCAAAAAATTTCACTATATTCCTACTGATCTGAAGTGGAAGGTTTTATTAAATTGATACAAAAAGTCGCCAGGAAAGTCGCCTGTGTTAAGTAATTGTCCTAACTGATAATCGCAATTAATTTGATAGCAAAGGCTAGACCTAAATGATAAAAGTCCGTCATCCAGCCAACCAGTCATTGCAAATAGACTTTTTCAAACTAGAAAATTTTACATTATTACGAGATTTAAAATTTTACATCATTTTACGAGAATTGTACATACAATTAATTGGTAACTAAAGAAATGAATTATTCGTTGTGGAAAGCAACGAAAAATACCAAGAAGTGGATAAAGCGAATTCCTCACTGGAAAAATTGATGGATCATGAGCAAAGAGCAATAAACCTGAACTATTTGCTATTTACTTGGAAGCAATTTTTTTATCAAATGAACTAAATACTCATGTTTGCTCAATGACTCTATTTACACAAAAAAAAATTCCAAGCAATAAAATCGCTTGCAGCTTTGTGACACTAATTGATGACCGATTGCAATGTATAAAATAAAGGTCTATGCGGTTCAGTATCTCAAGTTGGGCTGAACTGATTGTCATGAAAACTTATATTTCAGTTTACTTTGAGGATGAGATAATTTGGTTATCAACGAACTTAATCAATGCATAATTATGAAATTTTATATGAATTGGTAAATTATACACACATTTATAATTTTATAAAATTTTTTCTTTTTTTTGAAAAGTTCGGTTTTTGAACTTAGTAAATTGTAGACCGTAGATTCAATATCACTATAATAAAAAATATGTATTGTATAATGATAAATAACGCTTTTATTCAAGTGGAAATGTATTTTATTTCAATTTTCTTACATTTTTGTTTTAACTTACAATGTTTCTATATATTCAAAGAATTAGATGTTGGTTCGTTGCCTACCCATAAGTGAATAATTCTAAAAAAAACCGTACCTCCTTATATAACATTCAAAAAAATGGCACTTTTTTGCATACAAATCTTAGCATCATCCTAGGTTTTCTCGTTAATTACCTTAATTATCTTACCGACTGAGTGTCATTTTGATCTATACCACATATTCTTTGAAATTAGAAAATTTTTTTTTAAATTTAGCAACATTTTATTTTAAAAATTCGCGGTAAGATTTTTAAGTTTTCCTCTGTAGTTTTATTATATTTTTAAGATTTTGAGTACAACGTTTCGTTAAACCCCCACACAAGCTTCAAAAGTTAACGGAAGTTAAGTAAAAAGATCTGGCGTGGCCAGCACATAACCGACCACAATGTGTATTTTCTAGTTAAGTGAAAGTGCTACAGAATATTATAAAAATGCCTTTTAATACTTCTCTCAAATTTTTAGGGCATTAAGGCATTAATAAGCTTTTAGTGAACATACCAAAAAAAATGTAAATTTGGCTCTAAGCAGAGTTTCGCTTTGTGCCATCCAAATTCGCTAAATGCTCGAATTTAATACCTAGTTAGTTTTGCTAACAACCACAACTCAAACATCAAATATCAAGAAGTTCTATCAATTAGTTCCATAGATTTGATAAAAATTGTAAATTCGGTCCTTAGTTCGGTTTCCAAGTCCTGACCGTTCCAAAAAAATTATATGTTCATTGCTTTAGCAATTGCTCCAAATTTAAATATTAAATTTCAAGGAAAGTGGTTTATCATATGTCTTTATATGGACAAAAATCTAAAATTGACCTGAAAAAAATCCTATTTCCCAAAGTCTGATATATCACAAAATTTGATCAATGCGTGACATAGCAAAAACAAAGTCACATATAAAATTTCATGATAATCGGTTCATTTCGAACTTGAGATACTCGCTTGCACATACAGACAGACACACCGACAGAATGCTAAAAGTAGTTTATTTACACTCCCTTACTATTGAGAAGTGCGTTTCCACCGAAAACTCGATATGCAAAATTTGTTGCGATCACATGACCTTCCTTATTGTGTGCAATGCGGTCGGGAAAAAAGTTCGGTTCAATTTCGATCCATATTTTTATACCCGTACGGACGTATGTTCGAAGGGTATACTAAATTTGCCTTACCGTTTGTAACGCTAAGAAATAACGGTGTTAGATATAGACTCAAGTGTATGTTTTTGATCAGTGTCAAATTCTGAGTTGATTTAGCTTTGTCTGTCCGTCCGTCCGTCCGAACGATAACTCAAAAACTAATTGAAGTTCACCAAATTTTCACAAATGATTTATTGTAGTAAGTGCCAGAACCCTATTTAAATTGGACATGATCGGGGTACCGGTTCGGGTAGCTGCCATACAACTTCAAAATTTATTTGGCTATATCTCAGAAACTATAAAAGTTATGGTATTGAAATTTCACACAAACGAATATATTAGTAGGGCCAATGTGTCTCATAAAAGTCTTTGAAATTACTTGGCTCCTTCTGGTACCTGCCATACAACTTCAAAAGTTATTTGGCTATATCTTAGAAACTATAAAACCTGTAATATTGAGATTTCACACAAGTGAATATATTAGTAGGGCCGATGTGTCTGGTAAAAGTCGTTGAAATTACTTGGCTCCTTCTGGTACCTGCCATACAACTTCAAAAGTTATTTGACTATATCTCAGAAACTATAAAACCTGTAATATTGAGATTTCACACAAGTGAATATATTAGTAGGGCCGATGTGTCTGGTAAAAGTCGTTGAAATTACTTGGCTCCTTCTGGTACCTGCCATACAACTTCAAAAGTTATTTGGCTATATCTTAGAAACTATAAAAGCTGTGATATTGAGATTTCACACAAGTGAATATATTAGTAGGGCCGATGTGCTTGATAAAATTCGCTAAAATTCCTTGGCTCTTTCTGGTAACTGCCATACAACTTCAATAGTAGTTTGGCACAACCAGTATTTTGAAAAACACATAGTACTGAAATTTTGCATAAATTAATATGGTAATACGGCAACTTAAAGTCATAGTCTGCCCCATAGTTAGTTATGGCACATTAGTTATTCGCACATAGGATAACAAATTCGTACGGGTATCACAGAGTTGACAAGGTCAACTCTATTTTTTTTCTCGTTTTTTTTTAATGTTCACTTTGTATGACAAAAATTTAATGGAGTACATCAAAACAACACAAATTCAAAAAAAAAGCTTAACTATGTTTTTCATTTCTCATTTGTTTTCACACACTTGTGTCATAAAAATGCTTAAATTAATAATAAAATTATGTCGCAAAATGCTTACATTTAACATCATCAGATTGAAAAAATTCGTGCAATGGTTTTTGTATTTGTTGAACAATGTAGTTATTGTCCTATTTTAATGAAGGGAGTAATAGATTAATAAGAAAATATGTATTGATTGAAATCAATTATAAATATGTATACATATAAATGGAATTTAGGTATAATTTGGAGACTCCTATAGTGAGTGTCAAATTAGTTCGATTTTTAGAACTTAATTTTTTTAAGTTTTGTTTTGTGTCCAGTAATAAAAATGTATAAATAAATTTCATAATAATAAAAACTAAAAAAAAAATTGCAATAACCTAAAAACAAAAGAAGCAAACACCACCAAATTAAATTTTTCCAGAAATTGGTTTTTTCTGTCAAGAATGGTACTATTATTAAAATTGATTAGATAATTTCTTTTGAGAAGAAAAAATCTTTCATCACAATTACTGGAAAGATTTACATTATTTTAGTTCTTGGCAATTACTAGCCCTTTTTCAATTTCCAAAACTTCTCATATATTATAAAATGATTTATAGCAATTTCTTTTTACTAGGCAATGGCTTGATAATTTTAAATTTTTCAAATCCGTATTTTTTACATAGGTAAAAGTTTTATTATTAAATTTTACAATGTTTTCTGGAGTAAATTTTAATTCTTTGTTAGTTTTATCGGTCATTGGTATTAGTAATGAATTTGTTAATGTTATAAGTTCTTTTGAACTATTTATGGCGAAGATTAAGTTATTTTTGTCATCTATTAGAGTCCCTAATTTAATATTTTGTAATTTGTCAAAATCATTATCGTATTCAATGATTTCCTCATTTGTTAGTATACTACTGTATATTGTACCTGATCTTGCCGATGATATGTTATCTTGTAAGTGTTCTATGTTGTCTTGTAAGATTTTTAATTTTAATGCATAATCAGTGTAAATTGTTTGTGTAAGCAATTGTTTATCATATTCTCAAATCATGTTAAATTTTCTCGAAATTGTATTTCTGTCTTGTTCTATTGCTTCTTTAAGTTTCACGATTCATTAAGATTCATTAAAATTCTGATTAATCTTTACTTGTTTGTTAATGTTGGTTATGTCTAATCTGTCGGTGTTGTCCATTGTTCCATAAAGCCATTTGTGTACTGTGCCTACGAAATCGATTAGGCCACGTTTTTGTCTGTGTGGAACTAGTGTTTGTAATTTTGTACGAATTGTCTGTACTTGAAATTGTAAAGTGTTTTCCTTTTCGTTTAAGTTAGCAAGTTTTAGGTTTGCTTCAAAAGTGTTTAAAATATTCGAAATTTCTTCAATATTAACTATATGTAGAATTGTATCATAAGTCTTAACTAATTTAACATTGTCCAGTTTTATTTCTGAGTAACCAAGTTCTGTATTAATTTTTTCTACTGTTAGATGTCCCTGGCAAAATGTCAGTATTATTGTCAGCAATAGCATTTTGAAGATTAATTTTACCTGAATATTTTGATTTTCTCTTAATATTTCTAATATTATGAGAAGAATGAATGTTATTCTAAGAATGAATGTTATCAAGAGCATCTTTTATATATTTAGGTTGTTCTTTGTGCCTAAATTTTATAATTTTTTATATAACCTTCTACTCTATCATCTTGGTAATTTTCTCTTTTAGTATTATTTTTATTTAGAGACCCAGTTTTTTCTTTAAGGATATTATTACAAATTGTTTTTATGTCACATTTACCTTCCTGAATATTTATTGGTTTTTCCCTGGTTGTGGAATGATAACTATTATTATACCATTCCAAAGCCCTAAAAATTTTTTCTTTAATATTAAGGTCCTTATTTTCAATTCCTAACATTCTAATTTTTTCGCTAAGTGTATTGTGTAATCGTTCTATGTCAGAATTCCCGGTATGAGAATTCGGTTTAACTAAATTAAGTTCTATATTTTCTTTTCTTAAGTAGTCTTTTATATTTACGCTACAAAATTCATTGTCTGTTACTAATTTTTTAAAATGCCCTCTTTGTGATTTGTATTCCCTTAATTTTTCAATTATAGTTTGGTTGTTTCTGTCCTCGAGATAGTAAGCGGTTGCAAATTTAGAGAATTTATCTAAGAAGGTAAGGAAATTTGATTTAGAATTCGTTTATACATCCATGTGTATAATCTGTTTGATATTTTCAGGAGTTTCAGTGAATTTGAATTTTTCTCTTATTGGATTCCTGTCATACTTTGCTCTATTACAAGTGTCACAATTGTTAATGTATTTTTGAATAAGAACCTTGTCGTTTGTAAATATGTCATTTTAAGATCTCATAGTTTTCCAAAATTCCGGTATGTCCAGTCTCTAGTCTATGATATTTGTTTATTTGTTTGTAAGTTTCATCTTCTATCTTCATGTCTTTTGCATAGAATGAACATTTGACAAATTTTATTCCCTTAATGTCACTGAACAGTTCCTTTAATTTTTATTGCAAAATGTTATATTAATGGTCAGGTAGGTCTGTGTAAATTCCTATTTTACCCGATTTTATGTATCTTCTTAGAATGTCTTAAAATTTTCCTATTCTTATGTGTTGTCTCCATTTCTCTAATTTTTTGGTCTGTTAAAATAAATTGTGTTTTAAATCGGTTCACAACCGTCTCCAGTATTGGTATGTGGTCATTAAGGTCTTCCTGTTGAGAATGTACTGTTTCGGTTTCGTCAACATTGTTGTGTAAAGAATTTGTATCTTCGTGACCCCCCTTTCTGAGTCAATCGTCTCGATGGCATTTATTTCATGAGTCCCATTATTTATTCTGCTCAGAAAATCAGCTACTTTGTTTTCTTTACCCTTTATGGAATCAATGTTAATGTTGTATTTCCCTAGTTTCAGTAGCCAACGATATAGTCTTGGGTTAAGGTCTTTACCCTGTGTTTTCGAGTGCAACCATTTTGATGGTTGATGGTCCGTTAGTAAGTCGAACTTAACACCGTAAAGGTAAGGTCTAAAGTAATTCGTCGACCACACAATTGCTAATAGTTCTTTTTCAGTTGCTGAGTATTTCCTCTCATGTTCGTTGAGGGTCCTACTGACGAAACATACTGGGTGGCTGTCTTGTTGGAGAACAGCACCAATAGCATATTGGCTGGCATTTGTTACAAGTTTAAATTTTTTGTTAAAGTCAGGGTACTTAAGTATGGGCGTTTCAGTAACCAGTTTTTTTAATTTTTCAAAAGAGTTTATATAGTTAGAGTCGTTTGTGTCCACTTTCACATTTTTCTTTAGGCATTGAGTTATGGGCTGGGCTACCTTAGCGTAGTCTCGAATAAATTTGCGGTAGTAGTCAGACATACCTAAAAACGATTTTATTAATTTTTGAGTTTCCGGTAATTTCAATTTACGAATATCCTCAATCTTCTTGGGATTCGGTCTAACTTCTTCGGGTGTTAGAATATGGCCCAAATATTCGGTTTCTTTCGAAAAAAATTGCATTTATCGAATTGAATCTTAAGATTAAATTCGCGTAATTTATTAAATATCAACTTTATACTGTTAATGTGTTCTGCTAGAGTTGTACTGAAAATTAGTATATCGTCGAGATAGACGACACATATTTTATTTATAATATCTCGAAGAATAGAATTCATTAGGCGCTGAAAAGTACCTGGTGCAGTTTTCAGGCCAAAGGGCATCCTTATATACTCATAGTGCCCCTGAGGAGTAGAAAAGGCTGTTTTCTTTCTATCTTCCTCCCTTACCAAAATTTGATGAAAGCCCTTGGCAATATCAAGAGTGGTGAAATATTGTGCCCTGTCAAGTTTGTCTAATATAGTCTCGATGTTAGGAATGGGAAATTTGTCGTCAACCGTCACTTCATTGAGTTTACGGTAGTCGATCACAATTCTCCACTTCTTCTGTCCTGAATTGTCGGCTTTTTTCGGTACAATCCATAAAGGACTATTGTAAGGTGAGTTGTTTTTTTTTATTATTCCTTGCTTAAGTATGTCGGATATTTGTTTTGATATTTCCTTCTCATGTATTTGAGGGTATCTGTACATTATATAATATATCGATCTGTCAATAGTTGTTATGATTTGATGTTGAATTTCTGTAGTGTTAGTTAAATGGTCTCCCTCTTTAAAGAAGAGATCGCTATAGTTATTTAGTAATTTATTTAAATGAGCCTTTTCTTCAGAGTTTAAAGATTTCGTCAAATTTTCAAAGTCATTTTTACTTATTATTGTAATTATTAGTATGGTTGTTGTTATTGTTACAATTAAATCTAGTCTGCAGTGAGTTGTTAGAGTGTCCTAAGTATCTATTATTATTTGGAAAATTAAAATTTCTCTGATTGTAGTTTGAATTTGAATTAAAACTTTTATTATTTTTTGGAATATTACTAAATTTATTTTTATTATCAAACCAATTGCCATAGTTATTGATAGAATTTCTTTCTCTTATTAAATTTTTTTGAGCATGGTGAGGTAGATATTTTGTTAAATAGTCTAGCTTGATATTATAAGTATTGTAGATTAATTAATTCAAATATTTTTAGTAAATTATAAAATTAAGTATGTTATAATATAAGTAAAATGTAAGATTTAAAAAATTCTTTAAGTTAATTATTTTTTAGTTTAGTAAAGGTAAATTGAAACAAATAATTGTGGAAAATACAAAAAAAAAAAAATTTGCTAGTAATTAAAGCATTAAGTAATTGTAGATTTAAATAACAACACTGGTAATTAAATAATGCGGCATGTACACTATTTTATTGCTAAATAATAATGCCATATTTCTTATTCTCCTAGTTTAAGCAAATTTTGTAAAAATATAGAGAATAAAGTATAAATAAATAAAAATAAAATAAATAAATAAAAATTTAAACTAGTTAAAGTATTGTAGGCTTCTCTTAAGCTCTGAATGTCTTTATTTATTATTATAAACGCCAAATTTGCATCTATATTATTTAAAAAAATTCCTAAAATTACAGATTCATTTGTATTAGGGCTGAATTCATTAGGTTTATTTACATCGAATTCATACTGTATAAACTAATGGTTTAACTGAAAACACAGTTAGATTCCACTTCGATTATACTTGTCCAATATTGTTATTTGTCGCAAAATATACAAGTAACAGGGTAATCGAGAGTAACGCTCGCTCAATGATACTTGTATAGCAGTCAAAATAAAAATAACTTGATATATGTCTCTTGAGAATATTTCTAATTCTGACTTTATTAACCAAGAATTAACTCTTATATACTAAAATTAAAATAAACAACTCATCCCTACTCTTACAACTTTAAATTTTAAAACTATTAAAATGAAATTATAATTGCATTTCGTCCTTTGTCGCTATTTAAAATTTATTGCCTAAATGTTATTTCGTTACATTTTATTATCAACACATGTAGTTCAAAATATGTATTTACTAGATTGATTAACATGTGTTATGCTATTTTTGTATTTTTCTTTGTAATTTTATTTATGTTTCTTAAACAAGTGCAAAAAATTATCCTAAATAAACAATGACGAAAATGCGACACAAATTGTGATATTATTTTCAAATTTAAGATTTTACATATTTTTAGAAAAACTATTAATTTTTATGACGGTCAATTTTGAACATAATTCATATTTTATTCTTAAAACTAAAATCATTTTAGCTGGCGTAAACATTCTCCCCGCGTTGATGTCTCTGGCATCAAATCTGGAAGTCTTGAGTTCTTAGTTGTATATGTTGTGGTTCTTCGACTAATTTGTGATTTTTATTGAATATGTATTTCTTACTAATATACATTGATATTATCAGAGCACTGACTACAATTGCGCTGTAACTTACTATATACTGATGTTTATCATGATATGACATTGCTTGAAAACTGTTTTCCTGCTTCTTCAAGGCTTGTAATTGCTGCTTAATTTTGCTATATTTGGCAGAAAATGTATCTGTTAAATTTAAACTGTTAATATGCACACTGCTAAATAATGAAGATTCCAATTCTTTTTGTAATTGTGGCATATTTATTGAAGGTGAGACTTTCTTGTATTCACTGCTTGATATTTGAAAAGTTTGTATGACTACTCCGTTATCCTTTAGTAGACAATTTTCATGAAAATTCAATAATCCAGTCCCTTTAAGCCTTTGTTGATAAACGAGACCATCGCACACAATATTAAAAAGATACTCCTTATCTAATGAATAAAGCCATGAATTCTTTCTTGTTAGTTGAACCCAATATTTATTACTTTTGGTTAGTTTTATGTTGCATTTATCTGCTATTGTTTGCTGAGCTATTAAATTAAATTCGCATTCTACTTCTTTTGTTTCTTTAGTATATAATGGTCGCAATTGTTCACATAAGAAATTCTCAGAACTGACAGAAATACACTTCCTCCATTCTATATCTGATAACGTATATGCTGTATCCCTATGCAAATTAGTCCAAAAAAGTTCATTACTAGTTTCAATACTAAAAAATGTGCCGTTAATTAGTTGAGGAAAAGGAATCATTTTGTATACTTCGAATTCTGTTGATTTTATTAATGGGATGTATAACACGAATATAACTGATGTTTTTGTAATTTTGGACTTTATTGTTGTCAATTTATATAACTGTGTTAGAGATGGTGCTTGTAATCCTTCCGGAATGATTTGAACCAAATCTTCTAAATATGCTGCTACTTGATATGGCCCCAATAATAGAGTGCTGAATTTGTCGTGATGAATATCATGAATTATGTCCAAAATCGTAACTTGTATTTTTTCTAACTCGTTATTAAGTAATGAAACATATTGTGACAACATTAAAAACATCTTTTGCAGATTTTCATCTTGTTCCTTTGGTAATAAATATTTTAGCGTTCTGTTTATTTCTTCTATTTCATCTTTGATTATGTTTAACTGTTGTGCTCTTTCTGTATTTGTTTTCTTTAGTAAATTAACTGTAGCCTCAACAATTGATGTCTGATTTTTAATAAGATTGAGCGATTTTTCCTGCTTATTGTTAAGATTTTTTAATGTATCCTCGATTCTGCTTGCATATTCGTCGTCCAGTACTCCAAATAATTTGTTTGCTATATTACCCACAATATTGAGTAACCCACGTTTCTGTCGGTAGTGATGGGACATGTTGGTAAACAAGAGTTGATTTCTCTCATGAAGTTCTTCTAATTTATGTTCATAACTTTCCAGGATTAATCTGGGTAACTCTTTGTTGTTCATTTTTTTTATTAATGTTGACATTTGATCTACACCTTGTATAACTGCTGCGTTGTGATCCCAAAAACTTTTCATGTTGTAATATATTATTAATTTCCACTTGGTTGCGATTAGTTGTCCATTCCCTAGTTTCTCAAAATATACTCCATTGCTATTAAGTTGTGTATTCTTATACGGCACTGAAGAACCAAATAGTACTAAAGGAAGTAATAAAAGCGTTAATATCATAAATAATGTAGTATTGGGTAGACATTTCTTTTTATTTTTTGGTTTCTCCTTTGGTTCTTTGATTTTTCTTTTGGTTAATTTTTGTGATTCTTTCTCAGCTTCGATATTGAATATTGGGCCTTTGAAGTCAGTCATCTCTTCCATTTCTTCGGAATGGGTTTCTACTGGTAATAATGCTAAGTTTTGAATTGTCCGTTTAAATATTCCTTTAGAAGTTCTTACTTTTACGACTCTTACTAAACCATCTGAACCTTTTATTACTTCTTCAATTCGACCCATGGGCCAGTTTAATAAATAAATGGTATATTATTTTCTTCTTTTATAACTACTAGCATTCCTGGCTTCACATTTTCATTAATTTCTTTCCATTTATTTCTTTTTTGAAGATTGCTTAAGTATTCGTCAGTCCATAATTTCCAAAAGTGTTGTCTAATAGATGTTACTAATTTCCATCTTGATAATGACGTTAATTTTTGCTCTGATTCTCTATTTTCTGGAACTGCTGTCAAAGGTTCACCGATGAGAAAATGGCCTGGCGTTAATGCTGTAAAGTCATTTGGGTCAGAAGGCATAGGTGTTATAGGTCGAGAATTTAATACCGCTTCAGCTTCTGCAGTTACTGTACTCAACTCTTCGAATGTCAAGGAAGCGGATTTCAGTGCATGTCTTAAAATTTTCTTTGTTGATTTTACTGCCGCTTCCCAGAGACCGCCAAAATGAGGAGATCTGGGTGGTATAAAGTTGAACTGGATACCTTTCTGAGCACTCTGGTTGATTATTTCATCTTTTACATTTTGTTTGTTAATTAGATCTCCCAGCTCTTTTAATTCATTTTTGGCTCCAATAAAATTTGTAGCGTTGTCACAATAAACTTCCTTACTTAAACCTCTTCGAGCCATAAATCTTTTCAATGCACCTATAAATGCTTGAGTAGTCAGGTCAGATACTACATCCAAATGGATTGCTTTGGTAACGAAACAGCAAAATACTGCGATATAACATTTTGTTGGTCGTTTGCTGTGTATCCAAAATGGGTACACTAAGATGATAGTGTATCCAAAATGGGCCACAAAAGTCTACTCCGCTATATAAGAATGGACGTGCAGGGATTACTCGTTTGTCTGGTAAATTACCCATTTGTTGTTGTAATAACTGAGGTTTTGCCTTAGAACATGCGACGCATTTACTAACCGTTGATCTTGCAAGTAATCTTCCTTTGATTACCCAAAACGGTTGTCTAGCTATAGCCAAGAGTGCTAATGGTCCGGCATGATAATGTTGCTTATGTAAATGGTCAAATATTAATTTTGATACAAAATCATTACCTGGTAACAACCAGGGATGTTTTGCATTATATCCTATTGAACCATTCTCCAATCTTCCTCCAACTCTTATTATTTCCTTTTCGTCTAAAAATACTGATAATGAAGCCAGACGATTGTTTTTATTCACCTGACCATCTTTTTTAAGTTGTTTTATTTCTTCGAAAAAATGTATTTGTTGCGTCTCTTTGATGATTTCGCTTAAGGCATTGTTTAACTCATCTGAAGTTAACCAAGATTGTGAATGAGGGACAGATTTAATCTTTTTCATTTTGTTAATCGCTCGTAAAACATACGCCATTGATCGTTGTAGAAACATAAATGAATTACGATGATCAATTAATTCTATTAAATGTTTAACTTCATTGCTGGACATCTTGTTTATCAATAACACAGTATTTTTTTCTTCTTCTACTACCCTTACTATAGACAGACTTCTTAGTGGCCATTGATCTTCTTGTAATGTTAAGAACTTTGGTCCTTGAAACCAAAGTTCAGAGTCAATTAATCGGCTCGCTGACATCCCTCTTGAAATAATATCTGCTGGATTATTTTTTGTGGCCACATAATTCCATTGATTAATTGTTGATTTTTCATGTATAACAACCAATCTATGTGCCACATAAGTTTTAAATGAACTGGGTTCGCCTTTTATCCATGAAAGAACGATTTGAGAGTCTGTCCATAAATAAGTTTCATCAATAGTTATTTCCAACGCCTTTTTTACTTTTGACACCAATTCTACCACCATAATTGCCGCACAAAGTTCCAGTCTAGGAATCGTTAGTAATTTGACTGGAGCTATCTTTGATTTTGAGCACAGCAACTTAATATTAATATTTCCTTGGATATCTATTGACCTTACATACAGAGCTGCTCCATATGCTTTCTCGCTCGCATCTCCAAATCCATGTAACTCGGTTCGCACAACTGCATTGTTACTAAAAACAAATCTATTTATTTTCAGTTGATTTAAATGGGTTAATTCATGTTTAAAATTCGTCCATTCATTTTGCATTTCTTGACTGAGTTCTTCATCCCAATCGATTTTCATTATCCACAAGCTTTGAATGAATATTTTGGCTATAACTATTACTGGATTCACCAATCCTAAAGGATCAAAGAGCTGAGCTGCTTCTGATGCCACCTTTCGTTTTGTCAATTTGTTTGAATCCTCTAAAACAGATGTCTCGAACTAAAGTCTTAATGTAACCGGATTCTTCTTTTTCAAAAACCTTTTCTTTTTCTCGATCTTCTTCAACAACATCTTCCATTATTTTGTCATTATTTGAAGACCACTTATGCAAATGGAATTTTGCTGTTTTTAACATTGATATTAACTGCTTTTTCAATTCAATAGTTTCTGTAAGACTATTACATCCCGTAATAACATCGTCTACATAAAAATCTTTGATAGCCTTTGCTGCTAATGGGTACTGACTGAACTTATCTGCTGATAACTGTTTCAAACATCTAGTAGCCAGATATGGTGCTGCCTTCGTACCATAGGTTACTGTTGTTAGCTTAAAATAGTGAATTCTGTCCCTAGGATCTGAACGCCACATTATCATTTGTAAATTTTGATCTTCTTCAAAAACATTTATTTGCCTATACATTTTTTTTATATCTGATGTAATCACATACTTATATGTTCGGAATCTAAGTAAAATGTTAAATATGTCATCTTGCACTTTGGGTCCTTTTAACATGATATCGTTTAATGATAGATTAGATGTCGTTTTACATGACGCATCAAATACAACCCTTAATTTTGTAGTACTGCTATTCGGTTTCCACACGCCATGATGAGGCATAAAGTAGTGTATTTGCGGAATGTCAACTTCATTCACTTCTTTCATGTGTCCTAACTTCAAGTAATCTTCTAAAAACTCAATATATTGTTGTTTGAGTCTTACATCCTTTCCTAATTTCTTCTCAAGGTTTAGAAATCTTCTAAACGCAATATTTTTGGATTCCCCCAGCACCCCTGGGGATCCCAAAATAGGCAGATTCACTACAAATCTACCCTCTTGATCTCGATCTGATGTATTCATAAAATATTCTTCACATTTCACATCAGCTGGCTTCATAATTACATCTGTGCCTATATCTTCTACTTCCCAAAATCTTTGCAATTGGTTTTCTAATTCACTGTTAGATACTCCAGCAAATGGAACTTCTTGGTGCACTTTTCCAATAACAATCCAACCAAATACAGTATTTTGAAACATGGGCAAATGTTTGTTCAATTTTATCTGCCCTATCCTTAATAGTTCGCTAAACATTTCCGCACCTAATAGAACATCAACCCTTTGTGGTTTATTAAAATTGGGATCAGCCAGCTGTACTTTCTGCGGTATATTCCAAGTTGAAATATTTATAAATCTCTGTGGTTGTAAACTGGTTATTTCTTTAATCACTCTTGCCTCGATATTTGTTGAGAAATTATTTATTCTTGAATTTATTGTCAAGTTTACTCTGCCTTTGGATTCTACTTCTGTTTTTCCAATACCGTAAATTGAAAGCCCTTGATTTGATGGTTCCAGCTGCAATCTTTTTCTTAATCTCTCACTGATGAAATTGATTTGAGAACCGGAATCTAATAAAATTCTACATTCAATTTCTTTATTGTGTTTATCTAACACAATGCCTTGCACTGTTCCCAAAAAAACGTAATTGTTGCTGTTGTCTTCTGCCATATTAACTGTTGTATTGATTTGTGGTTTGTTTTGAACTACCTTATAATCATCATGTAATAAGGTGTTATGTTTCTTGTTACATTTTCTGCAACCTCGGGAATAACATGTTTTTGTGTTATGGCCTTTTTTTAAACAATTAAAACATAATCGTAATTCTTTAATTTTTGCCTCTTTTTCTTTTTGATTCATCTTTAAAAGCTTATCGCAATTGTATATTGTATGGTATCCTTCACAAATTGCACATTTTGCCCCATCTATGACAGTAAATGAGTGGGAATTATTATCTTTTTTAGAAATTTGTTTTGTTGCGTATGACTTGGCTCCTAAGGCCTCAAATGACTGGAATCTCAACTCCAAAAACTTCATGAATTCATCTAAAGACTGAATTTGTCTAGGAGATTTTAATGTTTGTTCGTATATTGTATGTGTATCTTTATCTAATTTTTTATACAATATATGCAGAAGAATAGGATCCCAAGAATCACTTTTTATAACTTTTACATTTTTTAGCAGAAGGATACATTCTTTCGTTGTGTCAAACATGGACTTTAATGACCTTGCTGAGCCGGCAACTAGACTCGGTTGATTAATGAATTTATCTAAAATAGTTGAAATTAATAACCGAGCGTTATCATATCTGTCTTCAAGAATCTTCCATGCTACTTTGTAATTTGCTTCTGAAATTGCCAGATGTCCTATTAACTTCAGTGGTTCTCCCATAAGATTGCTATTCAAATAATACATCTTCTCAACATCTCTAAGCGATTGATTATCTATTATTTGCAGAAACATATCTTTGAATTGAATCCATTTCAAATAATTACCATCAAATTTTGGAATATTAATGGTTGGTAATTTTATTGAATCATTGTTTATTTTGTTACTTTTTTCCGACAGCTTGGCCAGTTCCTCAGATAATGTAATTATGAGGTTTTGCACCTCCGTTTCCGTGTCTTCAAATTCTTCAACATCATAACCATAGTTCTCAGGATATTCTGCTCTGCTTGAAATAACACGCTCATCTTTTTGTATCTCATCCCATTTAGTTTGTAAATGTTGTATGTTGATTTCATAGTATTGTCTTGATTGATCTTTTGTTTTCACATTGTTCATTATCTTCATCAACTTTACTATGTTTCTTTGATATCCTCTGACAAAAATTTTAATTTCTTCATTTTCTACAGAACTTCCTGATTGAAGTTCTTCCTTTCTTGAATTATTTTTGTTAATTTTCAATTGTGCAATTTTATTTCTTAATTTTTGTATAATATCTGTGTATATCATTTTAGTTTGATCATACACCTTTTCCGTAAAATACATATGGTCAGCCTGTGTTCCATCTTCTATTGATTTATGATTTTCTTGAAACTCTGCCCATATGTCTTCAATTTTTTCAAGTTTGTTTTTCACAAATTTTTCATTTTTTCTTTCTTCAGCAGTCTGGTCGTAGTCAGCACTTATTGATTTTAACTGCCTACCCAACTGCACTTGTTTTGATGCTAAATCATCCATGTTTGTTATGTTGTATAAATTTATTTACGTGATGTTTGACTTTGTACTGATTCTTTTTTGATTGATGACACCTTCACTTCTTGGCTTCTTTTTACTACAAACGTTCACCCAACGACGATTATCTTCTCTTGTTAATATTAGTAATATATAGTCTGTAGTACAGTAATGTATAATAACAAACAGTACAGTCAAGTCCCAACTATCACGTCGGGGTCACCAAAAATGTATAAACTAATGGTCTAACTGAAAACACAGTTAGATTCCACTTCGATTATACTTGTCCAATATTGTTATTTGTCGCAAAATATACAAGTAACAGGGTAATCGAGAGTAACGTTCGCTCAATGATACTTGTATAGCAGTCAAAATAAAAATAACTTGATATATGTCTCTTGAGAATATTTCTAATTCTGACTTTATTAACCAAGAATTAACTCTTATATACTAAAATTAAAATAAACAACTCATCCCTACTCTTACAACTTTAAATTTTAAAACTATTAAAATGAAATTATAATTGCATTTCGTCCTTTGTCGCTATTTAAAATTTATTGCCTAAATGTTATTTCGTTACATTTTATTATCAACACATGTAGTTCAAAATATGTATTTACTAGATTGATTAACACGTGTTATGCTATTTTTGTATTTCTCTTTGTAATTTTATTTATGTTTCTTAAACAAGTGCAAAAAATTATCCTAAATAAACAATGACGAAAATGCGACATAAATTGTGATATTATTTTCAAATTTAAGATTTTACATATTTTTAGAAAAACTATTAATTTTTATGACGGTCAATTTTAAACATAATTCATATTTTATTCTTAAAACTAAAATCATTTTAGATGGCGCAAACACATACTTCTCATTTAATTTCCCTAATATAACTTTTAACTTATTAAAAAATTACTTACTGAACTTACAGGTTGAACCTCTATAGATAGAGCCTCCTGGTACAGCTGATGATAAGTTTCCTTGACGCCGAAGTTGTTGACTAGGATTTCTTTCATGTTATCTCAGGTTGCATCTGCATATTATTTATTATAGTTCTTTGAAAGACGTATTGCTTTAGATCAGGATTACTGTTGAATAGAGGTAATATAGTATCAACCTCTCTTAGAAATGACGACAATGCGTTGAGCATCTCTTAATGAATCACTGAAAGTTAGAGTAAGTTGATTATTATTATTATTATTATTTGTGTTATCACTATTTAATGCCATTTCTGTTTCTGTTTTTTCAGGAATTTCGTAAATTAAAAGTTTTTCATTTTTTATTTTTGTTTTTTCTTTTGGCATTCGATTTTTGTTTTTATTTTAATTTTTTTAGGTTTAAATTTATTATGATTAAGTATTTTAAAACTTTATATTACTCTTTTTTTTACTATTTTAAAATTAAAAATTATTATTATTTATTTTTGATTACTATTTTAAAATTTTAAATTATTTTATAAATTGGAAAAAAGAAAATTTGGCAAAGTTTAAACTTTAGTTTAAATTGTCAAGTTGTCTTTAAATTTAAATTTATAACAGTAAGTTATAAGTGAGGTTCGATCACTAAACTGTCTATCTTCGGATAGCAGAATTACCGTTCTGCGCCAAAAAATAAAAACACCAAAATTTAAATTTTAGTTACTTATTTATTTATTTAACTTTATTCTTCGGAATAACAGTTAATCGACTTGTTCTAGAGTAAACCTAATAGTCAGCAGTAATTACTTTAAGTGTGTTAATTTTATTTTAGTAATTTGATATTTTAGCTTTTATGTGAAAACAATTTTTTTATGTGAAAGTAATTACTGTTGATTATGAGTTTTTTTTGTATTATGCAAATTTATAATGAAATAAGAAATATGAAATTTATAGGAAAGAATTTTATTATTTTAAGTTAACGGAAAATTTTGTTAAATTTTATAAAAGAAAGACGACGGAAATGAGGTGTCGTCTTTCAAATTGACCTTACTTGAGTTTATTGACATGACTTATATGTATATAAAATTTGTATTGGTAAAATAATATTTAATTGTATTTTAGATATTATTTTCTAATTCCCTCTTAAAATTTTTTCTTTATTATCCGTGACTCCAATAATACGCTTACGACGTAAATTATACAAAGTATCACATTCCAAAAAATTTAGTAAAAGTTCTTGACATTGTACACTTTTCTTAAAAGCGTTCTATACGTAGTGGAGACGTAAAATAAAAGTAAATCGGGTATCGAAAAAGCTTTTCTTATACCTTGTCATATAAATGTTGCCATAAAATACAAATTTAATAAATTAGCATTTATATTCAGCAATAAAGTGCTAGCGTGCTAAAATGCAGCATAAAAATGCAATGTTTTTAATGACTAGGTAACGTTTGTTAAAAATTTGCACAGAACTTTAAATTGAACTTTTCAAACAAACGTCAAACTATATAATAATCAGGGACGGATTTTTCATATATGCAAAGTATACATTTGCAGTGGGCGACAGAAAAGCAGAGGTGCCATTAAAAACTTTAAAAAACCATAAATTTAAAAAAAAAAATTTGATACAAATTCAATTCAATTTACAGCGAAATTAACTTGATAAAATGTACTTACATACAAACATAATATTTTATTCCTAATAATATAAAAAATGTGAATGAAAAAAACGGTCAGTTACGCAACATATAATTATATCACAAAGCAAAATTTTTATTATGCTTAGTGATCTCCCTGGCTACACTCGTTCGTAGACATTATATTTAAATTGTTTCATATATGCAAAATTTTATTTATGCTTAATTGTCGCCCACTCACCAAACAAACAAACACATTATTATAATGTATTACTTTTTCTGTACACTATTGCATTAGTAAACAACAAGAACAAAACAAGAAAAACAAAAATTAAGAATGAGAATAGGAAGAAATTAGAAAAAGAGAATGAGAGCAATATTATTAAATAATGGAGTGCATAGCTTGATATTGAGATTGTGTATACCAATATTTTCTTTTTGTTTAACAAAAAAAAATTTTGAATGAATTTCAAAATTACATGATCGTTATGAATTTCTACTATGTTTTGCTTTCGTTTTTGAGTTAAAACTGTTATCAATCACATAATTAAATATTAATTGGTAATTTCTACTACTTATATTGAATTGGAAAAATGTTGTTTAATAATCAAGCGAATGTTAAGAATTTTTATGTTGAATTGATGTAATGTAAGTCATCCAAAAAATAAGAGTAAAACGAAATGGTGCATAATTTGTTTCACACATTTTTCTCTAAAATTAAAGTAGTTAAGCAGAACGACATTCTGAAATTTCAAAAACCACAAGCCTATAAATACCAGTAAATGCATTTATTTTAATAAAATCTAAAAAATATAATGAACAGTATAAAAGCTTATGGCTATATACATGAAAGCTTAGTTTTTAAGTCACAAATTTTAGAACGAAACTTTGACTTTCCTTAAATTTTTGAATACAAGTCGAAACTTTTTTAATACGCAGGTTCATTTTAAAATTACGAATAAAAATAATTTTTTACTTTTTTTCATACTCAAATAAGCTTTGAAAAAGTTCATTTGATATAATTTTCATAGAACCTTTTACAATAAGTTTCACTTACGTCAAAAAGTAAATTTTTTGGTTGTTAAAATTAAAAAAATCAAGTTTAAATGATTGATATAAATCTGATCATAACTTGATAAAAAAACATTCAGTTAAATAAATTACCTTGTTTTGGAATTTATAAAACAAAAAATTGAAAGTTTAGTTTCAGACTTTAATTCTATAATTAGTTCTGCATTCAGCATAATAAGGTTACAAGAAAGTGCTTTATGATGCACAATGTGCATTGCCTATTAAATTTTGTTCACAGCAATTAAATAGGTGAAACGGTTGAAGGAGGAGCGCACTTTTTAGGAACCGCTTAGGGCGACGAATACAACAGAACCGCGCCTGATAATAATATTGTAAAAATTGTATTCCAAAATGTAGGAAAAGCTTTAGTAGTTTTTTTTACAATGTAAAGGTATTAAAGGCTTTGAGACGGTACTACGAGCGTATTAATACCGTACTTAAATCTTTTTTAAAGCATTATTGAAGTCACGATATGTATTCGTGTCAATATTGAATAATTATCCTTTCATTAGTTACATTTTCAACTTGACACTACAGTTACTTCCTATACCTTGAGTTAACCTACCCTATGAGGAAAAAATGCTGTTCACTTAAAAATAATGAAGTACTTTCAGTACCATATAAAATGTTATAGACGAAGGTTGTGCTTGTTGTTTTTCCGCTTTTTTGTATGTATTTCAAGAATTTTAAAATAATTACGAATGAAAATATTAATATATTTAATTGATTTTTTAAATATATTTTTGGAATTTTACCTGCTTTATAATAAGTGTGAATATATTTTAATACTTCTTCTCAAAAATAGCCACGTCGATTAAAAAAAATCCATATAAAATAAGGTCGTGCTTTCAAGTTTCTCTCTTAGCCTTGGGACTTGTTATTTGATGAATAATGGAAATGAAAAGTTGAGAACTATGGATAGCACCATCGATACAATCGATAGTTTTCAACTATTAAAACTGTCAATGGTTTTAAATTCTATATAATGCTTTCGTCAAATAAATTAACATTAAATTACGCAATTAACAAATTTAAAAAAATAGGCAGGAAAGGAATATCGTTTTGAATTTTATGAATTCCATAACATTGTTTTCATACATTCAATTTATTACATCTGTGAAAATTAAAAATTTTTTCCTTCTATTTTTATGTTCTTTTATTTCATTTCAAATACTTCTTGAAGACGTGAAGCGAAGTTAAGCTGGCATTGAGTGTCATTATATTCTTAATATTCCTTCTTTGAAATAAACAAGAGAAAAAACTTGTTACTACTCGTAGCTATGTCAAAAGTAGAAGTTTAACGTGCATCATTTCCTTTAAATACTGAACTTAACTGATCATTTACATGAGCGAGTTATTGGCATATATGTTTCAAAGA